TTTCTTCTACCTGGTCTGTTTTAAAAATCATTCTTCAAAAGACTGGGACCTGTCTTCCCACGTCCTCTCCTTCTGAAGCTTTGGCTGCTGAAAAGAACATATAATAAGTTAGTTCCAAGAATCTTAGCCCGACCCCATCAGTTCTGTGGAGGCAGCATGGCCTTCCTGGACTGTTGACTGCTGCCAGACACTAGGCTTGAGGTCCCAGTGCCCGGGGTCGTTGGGAGGGGGCGGGGTGCCAAGCCCCAAAGTTTCAGGGAAAGAAAAGCATAGCCCAGCCTGCAGCAGGTGGAGAACACTGAGGAGGGAACAAAGCATTGAAAGCTATGTCATCGCCTGTCCCCTGCTCCCCTGGAGGGATGTCCTCTCTCCTTCAGCTGCCAGGTGTGTTTGAAAACATCCAAGCTCTAACCTTCACGTAGCAGGAAATAAATATCTGCAGGGGTGTGAGCCAGGGTGTGTGTGTGTGTGTGTGTGTGTGTGTGTGTGTGTGTGTGTGTGTGTGTGTGCTCGCACCCGCGCGCGGCTCCCAACGTGCCTGTGTCTATCATACAGCCACAATCTAGATTCCAGCTGTGTTGGGGTGCCAGTGACTACCGTAGGACAATCTGGGTGAGTTTGATGCAGAAGGTGACGTGTAGCCGAGCACGTGTTGGAGGAGAACACAACAGGCTGGTGTCCCGGCTAAGAAACAGAATGGTCCTGGAAGCCACAGCCCCCTCTCAGGATCGCAGCCCGCCCTTCTGCCCAAGGCTGTCCCGCCTACCCTCGCCCTCTTCGCAGGAGTTAAGGACCTCCCCGCTGGGCTGGCTGCTCTCCGGTTCCCCCTGCACCGGGCCCTGCGACCGAGGCCGGTGTCCCCCTCCCCACCCCCCTTCACCACGTGGAGCCCCAAGGGCCCCACCGTCTGCTTGCTGGTGCACTGGGGAGCTATTGGATCGCGCTGAGGAAGCACGGCACTCACTCAAGACGTGTAGACGAAAGACTTCTGCCATCGCCTTGGGTTTCCCCAGGGCCGGGAGGAGTGACCTCCGTGGCCTGCCAGGGATGCCCCCGAGGGGCTGCAGAACAGTGGACGACCTGGCGGGCGCCGGGGGCCAGACCAGGGACTTTGCCGGCAGGTGCTTCGGCTCCTTTTCTCTTCTTCCCTTCCTCTTTCCCCTCCCTCCTCACCCTGAAGTAAGATGAGTGCGATGCTGTGGCGCTGGGAACAGAATAATTCCACCATGAAGCTGGTAAGGGAACACCGCAGACTCGCAAGCTCCGCTTTGGTCTCTTCCCTGACAGCCTGAATTGTTACTGAAGTGGAAAGTCCCCAATCCGAAGTTGGTATTTCTCTTTTTGTTTTGAAGGCAGAGGTGTGTGTGTGTGTGTGTGTGTGTGTGTGTGTGTGTGTGTGTGTGTGTGTGTGTGCACGTGCACGGTTTGCCCCTCCAGGGTCATCACTTGATGCAGAGCTGTATTCTCTAGGCAGGTATTGGGTCAGTGTGGTCTGCCTCCTGGACCCCTGCCCAGCATTGTGTTGTACTCCTATAGATTGCACGTGGGTACTGCTTCCTTGTGGGCTGGCTCCTTTGGGCTTGGGGATGGGAATGTGTGGCCTCTCTTCTTATTCCCCCTTCGCCCCGCAGGGTTGCCATAGTTCCTTTTAAAGCTTGCAAGAAGCCTCCAGGCTTTAGGTACTTTTCCCCTCAGTTTTCAAAAGTAACCGCCACTCCCTCCGGGGAGAGGTGAGGCCTGTGGTGTGTTCCTTGCTGCTCTGGGAAGGTTGAATTGTTTTCCCATCCCAAGCAGGAAATGTGATCCAAAGCCTCTTCTCCTGGCTCTCTTTGGCTTTTGTGGGGTGTTTTTTTGTTTTTGCTTTTTTTTTTTCAGATGGTTTCAGCTGGCAGGGATAGGGATTCCTTCATTGAAGTCAGCGTTGTCAGCATGCAGTGGACAAAGGTTCCCAACTTTGCAGGTCTAGTGCTGAGCTTGATATGCAATAAGAGCTCAATAGGGAATAATGTGGATAAGTTGCAATGCGTGCTTACTGGGTTGACCTCTCTAAGGAAGCTGTTTAAAAACAACGGCAGCAAAATAATGGTCACCGAGCTTAGTCCTCACATAATGAAGTATTGTTGGCAAAGTCCACCTTAGTGTTCACGCTGGCTGCGTGTGTTTTGATTGGCCTGTGTAACCTTAAGCAACTGTTTTACAGCTCGGTTTAAGGTGCCATAACATTAGCAGACATTACGCGCTCCTTTGCTGCTCCAGGTCAGGATTATGACACCTTGATCCTTTCCTGGAACCTTCCCCCCAGCTTGCTGTGGGAGAGCCAGCAGCGGTCTCCTCGCTTCCTCCCCAGGACATGCCTGAGATACCACTCTGTTATGCAGCACAGGAGAGCCAGGGCCCAGTCTGAATGGCAAAGGTTGCCAGACTGAAGGCTTTTTATGAAGAAATGGATTCTGTGCCAGGCAGGGAAACCATAAAACATCCCCAGTAGATGGCATCTGGGGCCCAGTGACAGGTGCCTGAGGTCAGAACTGGGACATCCTCGCTGTCTCTTCAGCCTATAGAGAGAGCTTTCTTCCGAGTGGGTCAGGGGCCAGTCTTCATTGGGTCCGTCTGGGTCTTTAGACTTGACTCCTTTTCAAATGAGCTGCAAAGACCACCTAAGATGGTTGGACCCCTTTCCCAATCAGGCATAGGAGGGATGGAGGGGCGCAGACATCTTGCTTGCACTCACAAGGCAGCAGTTGCTTCCTGGGTACCCCACAGTCCAAATCCCAGTCAGGAAAATGCATGGCTGGGTCTTGACATCCAGAGAGCTTCATGTGCCCCACAAGTGGGCCTCAGCCCTTCTTCAGAGTCTGAGGAGCAGCATATACATTGCAAATCAAGGTATCAAGCTACCAGCCATCTGCTGTGAACTTGCTCTACCAGGGAATGTGGCCTTAGTAGACACACCAGCCTCATCACTGAGGGCCTTTGCTCACAACCGACTCCCGGCTTTAATTCTAACCCTGCCATGTACTTAATCCGAACCCATCTCTTTTTCTGTTAATCAGGGTTTGGCAGTTCTCTGTCCTCGTACAAAGTCGACACAGGGTAGTCTAAGAACAGGATCCAGGCCAGGGTGTGAAACACTGATGTAGAGTAAGTGGGACCAGCCAATCTTCTTGTCTTTGTCATTTCCTTTAGAAATCCCCAGTGTCCCACTTTGCCTGTGCTGCTGAGCGAATGGCTTGGGGAAAGCAGACCTTTCTTATCTTTGAATCATCAGTGGGGCAGCAGGAGGGAGCTCCCTGAAAAAAAAAGTCTTAGAAGTCAATTGTGTGTGAATAACAGCCCACAATGGGGCCTGGGGCCAGAGGTGGGTGCCTGAACTTTCATGCAGTTCAATAAACATGAAGTCAGTTAACCCACAGCTTGAGAACTCACTGTTCTGGTTGGATAGTGGAGCAGAGGTTTTACTTCGTGTTTTGTTTTAAAGCTAATTGGATTTAAAAAAAAAATAAGGCCAAGTATCATTAGAGGAGAAGTTTGGATCTCTCTGTGTTATCTCTGCAGGGGAATGTCAGACATGCACCTGCCCACCTTGCAGAGGAGGCGGTGGCTGGTAGATCTTCAGTAAGAGGAGATGGCTGCTCAGGCTGACACTCCTACTGGGAGTGGACAAGTTTAGGTGCAGTCAGGAGCATCATGTGGGTGGATGGGACATTCTTGTCACCCCCCCACCCCGCTCCCTTCTTTTAGATTCTTTGCTGTTAGGCAGGGCATGGGGAGACAATGGGGTGATCACTCTGAGCAGCTGCTATCACAGGAGAAGTGGTATCAGTCAGCCAGCAGGGTGGTGGGAGAAAAGATACCCAGGGAAGTACCTGTCCTCACCTTGCAATCTGTTCCAGCCCAGAGCCCAGGCTCTGGTCATATGACTTCTAGACTCTTGGTCTGTACCTTAGGGACCAGAGCAGCTCCCAGGACTGCTGTGAAAGTTAGGGAGAAGTTGCAGCAGGTTTTACCCTCAGCCCAGGTAACCAGTTTGTGGGAAGTGAAGGGCCACCCTCTGACTAGGAGGTGATCTGTGCGTGCGTGCGTGCGTGCGTGTGTGTGTGTGTGTGTGTGTGTGTGTGTGTGTGTGTGTGTGTCTACACACAGAGAAGGGAGCAGTGACCCTCAGTGCCAAGCTTGGAGAATTATCACTCAAGACTCCTCCTGTCCAGCATTTTCTTATATCTCAAATATGATACAGTGACCATCCATTTGTGGTCAAGAGAGATTAAAAAAGGGTTGCCAAAATAATCGTAATAGCCTGTGTGCAGGAAGACTTTAGTTTGCAGATTCCACGGATTCTATTTCATCTTCCCACAAGTCTGCAAACCAGAAACTATTTGATAACAGCCCCTGCTTGTACAGATAGGAAAAAGAGTCTCCGACTTGAATGGCTTGCCTCTGGTTTTCGGGTGGCAATGACCAGGCATCACACCGCTCACTTCAGAGACCTGTGTGCCTCCTAGAGACCAGCAGGGCTGAGGTGCAGATAGGACTGCCAGAGTTTATGACCTGACTGTGCCCTGGGTAGCATTTCTCTTTGTGGGCCTCTTTGTGAGCAGCTCTGACCTATTGTCCTTCTTATACTGGGGGATGCTGGGAATAAGGTTCAGAGAAAGTCATGGTGGGTAAGTAATCCTGAAAAAAGCAAAACAAAACACTTACAGGGCCCTTCGTCAAAGCGATGGAGAAAGTAGCTCTGAACAAGGAAAAAATAATGAAAAATAATGATGCTGAAAATGCCACTAACCTTTGACCTCTCCCCAGAGGCACTGGTCAATCTGCCCCTCCCCTCCCACACACACAAGCTGCCCTTAGCAGACTAATAGGGAAGTCAGAAGGGGTCAGGGCCTGTGGGGCTCTGTATATAGCTTCCAATAGTTGTTCCACTCAGATTCAAAGCCCAGGAAGCAGCAGCACCTAGAGCCTGCTATGGTCCTCCAGGTGCTGTCTTCAGAGTGTGCATGCTCGCTTCGGCAGCACATATATTAAAACTGGAATGGTGCAGAGAAGATTAGCATGATCCCTACGCAAGGATGACACTCAAATTCCTGAAGCATTCCATATTTTTAATACATGAGAGAAGCAACAGCAGCAGCAAACCCCAGAGGCCAGGGGTAAGGTGATTGCTGAGCAAAGCAGGCAGACCTGACCTTAGACCTCCCCAGCACTCACATAAAAGCTGAGTGTGGTGGCATGCGCCTATCACCATAGCACTGGGGAGGTGAGGCACATTCCAGAGACTTGCTGAGCAGCTGGCTAGTCTCGCTACAGCGGTGAACTCCAGGCTCAGGTGAGAGACTTGCATCTAAAGAAATAAGATGAGGAGGTAGAGGAAGGCACTCAAGTTGACCTCTGACCCCCACACATGCATGTATGGGAGGCACATGTATCCCACACGCATACACCACACACAAACAACACCAGCGCCTCTCTGGTGTTTTCCTTCTTCTGGCTTGAAATATAATTGCCAGATCAAGAAAGAAAGAAGTATTTAGGGCGTTCGATGTACATGTTTGATGTACCCACAGTGAAATGATTACTGCCGTGATACTAACACACACACATCTCTTTGCCGAGGTGGGCTCTTCCTCACCTCTACCTAGATAGGCTGTTTCTCATCTCATCAGCTCCATCGGTTTGTTTTGGTTTTTTCAGAATAAAGCTCATTGGCACTCATTTGAAGTTACGTCCATTTTTCACTGGGAAATACCAGTTATTTTCTGCTCTTGGGCCTTGTCAGGTTTTTCTCTGTTTCACTAATTGTAACTGGCATAGACTTTTCCATCTGCTGGCTACTGGACGCTATCTGTTTTCTGTTAGTCCCTTAATGCTCAAGGGCAAGAAATTCCACCCTTTCTTCAAGAAGCCGGGCTGGGGTACACAGGAATGCTTCCATGTGTGTCTCTGCTGCATACAATAAGCCTTGGTATTCATTTCAGAATCAAGACAGCCGCACGTGCGGAAGTTTGAGCTTTGGCTAATTACTGGGGCACTTGAAGGCAAAGAAAGCAAAACCCTGAAATGAGCAAGCGACTTCTTTGGATGACATCTGGGGAGGTTACACATTTTCCTTCATTTTTGCGTTAATAGGGGCGTCGAGGTTTATAATCGGTCCCTCTGCTGACCCGTCTGTGCCTGCTTTACCAACACCATTGTTTCTTGTATGGAGTTAGTAGAAAACATGTTTTGGTTTCTATTTCTGGCCTCTGCTATATAATGCCACCCACCCAGAAGACATGTGGCTGACTAAGCTTTCCTTGAAGGATTCTTCTAATCTGTCTAGGGCATGTAGGCTGCAGTCCTCCCAGCCTGCCACTAGCCCAGGGCTCTCTTCCCAGGGGTTGTTCTTGTGATTTACATGTCATTGCAGATGTGATGGCATAAGGGCAGTGAGGTGGTCAGAGAGCCCAGCCAGCTCCCCAGGGTGCTGTGGGCTGGGGAGTCAGGATGAGGTGAGGTGGGTCTGCTTAAGCAGGGTAGCTAGACAGGTGTGCTTGCTAGAAAAGGCAGCTGAGTTTGTTAGGGACGAAGCCCTGCTTGTCCATGGCATTCAAGGCCTCCTGTGTGGTGGCGTTTTCACCGTCTGTATTCATCTATGCTGCATCCAGGCGGGAGCTACTCGATCCCGCTGACATAGCCAGCAGAGGTCTTCTGTACTGGGGCTTTAAAAAAAAAAAAAGAAAGAAATCTGTCTGTACACTTGTCTATTTTCTTTTTTAACAGATTCATTGGTATTGTTCATCTGTATGTGTATATGTATTGTTTAGATGATATGTATGCAAGTGTGTGCAGATCAGAGGATAACTCTTCTACTTGTTGAGGCAGGAGGCTGTCTTGCTTCTACTGATCACCCTACTCCAGGCAATTCTGTCTCTGTTTCCTATCTGGCAGCAGGAATGATGGGATTGTAGACGGCGCCACCACATCAGGCTGGTTTTTTTTTCTTTTTTTCCCCCCAGAGCTGAGGACTGAACCTAGGGCTTTGTACTTGCGAGGCAAGTGCTCTATCCCTGAACTATATCCCCACCCCCATAATTTATTTATTTTTATTTTATGTACATTGGTGTTTTGCCAGCATGTATGTCTGTGTGAGGGTGTCGGTCGGAAACCCCGGAACTGGAGTTACAGTTTTGAGTTGGCATGTGGGTTTTGGGAATTGAACCGGGGTCCTCTGGAAGAACAGCCTTAACTGCTGAGCTCCCTCTGCAGCCCCACGTCTGGTTTTTTTTTTAACAGAGGTTCTGGGGGTCGAGTTCTGGTAGTCAGGTTTGTAGGAAAAAAAGCCACTGGCTGAGTCATCTCCAAAGCCTCATGAAGTCCCCATTCTAAGAAGCCACCTCCTCACATAGGAGCAAACCCCAGCAGGGATTTCGAGACACCAGCCTCTCTTTTCATTTCACTCACTGGTGAAAGCAGCTTGCTCTACCTAGGGTTACCAAATTTACACAGTCTCAAAGCAGTGAGATGAACCATGGACTGAAACCATCAAAACAGTGTGCCAAGATTAACGTCTCTCATTTCCAAACTGGTTTAGACTCCAGTGTTTGGTTACAGTTAATGAAAGCTAATTCACAATCAAATCAAATCCTGAACCCTTCTACCTAGGGTAGTGTGACCATGGAACCTCTGCCCCCCCTCCCCTTCTATAAACATCATGGGGATTCTGTGAGAGTTAAATGAGCTACTGCAAACTAAGTCTCAATGCAGTGCCTGAGGTCTAAAGTTGTCAAGCTGAGGGGAGAAATTGTCCCCTCTGAGCCTGGAGAGGCACTGAGGATATGCAAGGCATGTTACTGTTTGGGGTGGACATTTAGCTGAACAGTGAACTCTGGAGGTGGTTTTGCTTGGCCTGTTGGTTCTCCCCTATGACCTTATGGAGGGTAAGATTCCCCGTGTTCGCATGCTGGACTCAAACTCCAGTTGGCGAACTCTGAGCTAAGCAGCCACAGCCAGAATAGACAGTCGAGTCCGGGATTGAGACTCCTGGAATGCCATCACTGCTGTCAGGAAGAGGCCCCGGCAACAAGGAGCCCCAGCCGAGAGAGCACTTCAGAGAGGGACCAGCCTAGGGCCTCTTGTTTATGACGGCTCTCCACACACCTGCCATTACTCACCCTTCCAGTCTCTCTAACAGAGGTGCAGAAGAAGCGCCAGAGCTTAGAATCATGCCTGGAAAAGCCATGTTTCTTTGGAAATGGGCCGCAGATGACGTAACCCAGTGGTATCCCATTACCCGGTTCTTGGCTAATCTTTGTATAAAACTTGTTTAGGTGAAACTTGAGTCTGGAGAAGCCAGTTAAAGTACATTACTTTCTCGCTGTTGAATGCCTCCTGGACTTGGGATAACATTTAATCTAAAAAGTAAAGTGATATTTCCTGAGATAGCAATGAGTTCATGTTTGGAAATTAAACCAACTGAGTTTATTGCACCATTTTTTTTTAAAGTGCAAACGGTGGTAGTAGATGTTCTGTCTACCAAGTAATGTCTAGCCTGGCCACTGCCCTGGGAGAGTGGGGAGCTATAGACGTGGCAGTTTTCAACTCTTAGAAGCTCTGCCACTGCCTGTCTGGCTGTACGTTATTCTAGCTTCAGCCATATTTTGGTTTAAGGGGGCCATCTTTTGAAATCATAGTTTTCAGGTCCAGGGAAAATCGGCAGACAGGCCTGATTTAGTTCATGCTTCCTGAGTTTGTGAGACTTGTTCTTTTATCCTTTGCAAAATGCTTCCCTCTCTGTAGTAATGAATGGGCAGCTGCTTTATTCTTGAGAAGGAGAGTGCTGCTTGTGGGCCCATGTGGGCTGCAAGCCATTCAAAGAGGGGAAGGAGGGAATGTGGGAAGTCAGAGTATGAAACCTATCACCGTCCCTTATTTCCAGAAGTTGTGTGTATTATAGACATGTGAGGTCCATAGATGATTGACTTAAACTCCTAAAAGGCACTTGACAAAGACTGTCTGCGGTTCCTTTCTGTGACGTTTAAACTGCAAGGTCCTGGGGCTGGAGAGATGGTGGCTCACAACCCTCTGTAACTCCAGTCCCCAGGGATCTGACACACCGGACATATGTGAAGCACAGACGCACATGTAACCACAACATCCAAACATGTAAAACAGAAACTAAGTTGCCGAGTCCCGTTGCCTGGGTGTACGTGGAAGGTTGTGGGTGAAGGATGTCATTCACACGCCCTGCTTCTGGCTGCGTCACCTGCACCCTTCTTAGCACATTAGCATTCATAGAAGAGCTAATACCTTACCTGGAGAATGCCATCCCGGGCTGAGATCCAGAGCCATTCACCAAGCCCCCTTCATCAGAGTCGATGGCAGCCACAGAGGTGCCACCCTTTCGTTCCTTAGAAGCCACCCCGCTCCTGTTATATGCCCGATGCTTAGTCATCATTTTTATTTCTCAGCAGCGTGCAGACTGATCCCACGCAACCCAGGGTTCCTTATCATAAGTGTAATGCATTGAGTAAATCCTTGGGATAGCTAGTGGGAAGACCCGAGTCTCTTGTGGCTCCAAACCTCTTCGTCCTGGCTGCAGCCAGGGGTCCCAGCCCATCAGAAGCCCATTCCACAGTCAACATTGGTTAAGCATTTCTAGGGTTCTGCAGTGACGCTGACATGTCCTAGATACTTGTGGAAAGCTCTAGGAATCTTCTGGCAAGGCTCCCGGGTGATCCCTGGCACACTGATTTTGGGAAAATGGAGAATGTGGATGTCTACATTATACCTGTCATTTGGCTACCATCTCACATGTTCCCTGCATGCTCCCTTTCCTATCATGTGGTCCTGGGCTGAGACTGGGGAAAGTCACCAGGCCCTTTACATCAGAACCAACTTATCAGAAGACCTCATTACGTCTGGGCTTTACTGCCTGTTCTCAGGAGGGAGCCAATGAGCTCTGGGTCTCAACTTAGCCCACTCGGAGTTAATTCTCCTGTTGTATGTGATGGCTGGGCGTATCTGATGAAGACCTTTAATCTGATACTTGGGCTCGCAATTGAAAGATGGGTTCAGCCTCCTTGAATCTCCATGGCATCAGACTGTCCATTGGAGTGGTGGGTTTCT